ATTGTAAACATTTTATTATCATGATCGCTCCACTTGGATATCTCCGAAGTGGGCACAATATAAGCACAATCAATAACTTCCCATAAGTCGATATTTCTAGATTCAACAAATAGTTTAAATCTAGAACCCCATTGAGCATAGGGAAAATTAATGAATTTAGGAGCAACATTTGATTCATAGCCTAAACGAAATACATTTATATTCATGATATATATGTGAATATATACAAGCAAGACAAATGTAATCATAACTAGATTAGCACAAATAAGATAACTTGGATCTTTAACTCAAGGCGATTAGTCCTTAAATCAAAGAGCACCAAGCTCTGATACCAATTGTTAGACCCTAGAGGATATAAGATATGAATATAAATATAAATGAACGCCAAAGCACACTCAAACACACTATATGATCACGGGTTCAAACCTTCCGTCCTACGTCTCCACGCCCCACTCCCGGGGAGAAATCCACTATCACAACCGGGTTTTCTACGTTCACCCGAATAACGTTTACACCTCACACTCGGTTTTCTAGCTAACCGAAAACTTTACAATCAACACTCTTGCAATCACACTCTACACCCTCACAAGTGTTGGATCTAGCCGTGTCTCCCTCAAGTGCTCGGTTACAACCTCTTCCTAGGTTCTTCAACCGACGCCACTCCTCTTGGGACGATCCCCGACTCTCACCACACACTCCTCTCGGTGTACAAGTGTATTACAAAGTGATCTCACGATTAAGCACAATACAAAAAATGATTGTTCTCTAATATGGATGAGAACACAATAAAAGCTCATACTCAATTGTTACAACTCTCACCAACCCAAATATACTATGTATATAAATACAATAAGCTCAAGTGGGTGTGTGTGTGTGTGTGTAAACAATGAGTAAATCAAAATCAAACTAAACTCAATACAAATGCTAGCTTATGGAAATGTAAATCAAACGTATAAATAGCTAGATATGAGTTTAGAGATTCTTCTCTGAATAACAAGATGGAGAGATGGATTAAAAGGAAGCTCAAACAATGTAGATGATCTCCTCTACTTGTGAACCAACCAAAAACAGCTTTAAACCAAACTTAAACCCCTGTTAAAACTTTTTAAACTGGTTTAAAACATCCCATTGGTTGCTGAAATAGAAGGGGGTTTGGGGGTTTATATAGGAAGATGAAGTAACAGCAAAAACCCCTAGGGAAAAGACCAAACAGCCCAAGAATCAGAAATCTGATTCTGTACCAAAAGAACCGTTGGGATAAACGAATTTCCAAAGTTTGTAAGCACTATCAAAATGAACAAATTTGTTAGAAAAGGATGAGTCAAAATCATTAAACAAAAATTCTAACAAAAGCTTGTTCATTATAAACATTTTATTATCATGATCGCTCCACTTGGATATCTCCGAAGTGGGCACAATATAAGCACAATCAATAACTTCCCATAAGTCGATATTTCTAGATTCAACAAATAGTTGGCGGTCGACCGCAAGCAACAAAAACAACAGGAAAAGCTCCAGAGACTTCGGCGGTCGACCGTGGCGGTCGACCGTGGGAAATCTCGAGCTCACGGTCAACCGCGGCGGTCGACCATGAAAGTCTCTGCTGTCCACTGACGAAAGAACTCAGGCGCGGTCGACCGTGACGGTCGATCGTGAACTGATATATGAAATTCCAGGTTTTGAAAACAGTTTGCTGATTAAAACACTGTTTAAAAATATCAAATAAATTCCAAAAATTATGAAACTTTGGGAAATGATTGTAGACATGATAATACACATGCTACAAAAATTGGTTTTCTAAAAGGACTTTCCAAATGAGAAATATCATCATTTTGCAAAATAGTTCAAAATACGAAAATGTAAACATATGAATTTTGACATTTAGGCTAAACCATGTTTTGAAACTTTGCACAATAATTATGTAGACTTAATAAAATATGTATATGATTATTGTTAAGTCCAAAAACTAAGAATACAATATTTTTACAAATACAATAGAAAATGAAACATATGAGTATGTATATGAAAATATATTTGTTTCATATCTAAGTAGTTAAACCAAATCACAATAATAAATATGAAATATGTAATTTCATATTTATAAACATAAAAACCAAAACTTGTGTTGTATATATATATATATATATAACTACATATATATACAAGGAAACCAATAAAATGTGTGTGTATATGATATTGAGCTTAGAGTATCTAACACACATAATAAAAAACCTAAACTAGATTACCCAAGCCAATCTTGATCTTCAATAAGCTTGACTTGGTACACTATGCGGATGAAGCGGAACTTGGATCTTGAACTTGAATTGCATAAGCTTCACTCCACAATTCCACCAACCTCCATT